CTTAATCAAGTGAAAACATAATACAACTGATTCTGTTTTAATGATCAAATAACAACCTAATCAAGTGAAAACATAATACAACTGAAATATTTACACTTGTAATCAAATAATATGATAGAACAATATTTAACTGCTTCTCATTTCTTTATAAGGTTTATAATAGGTATCTAGTTATTACAGTAACCACCAGATTTCAAGAGTAAATAATGAAACTATATTGAGGCAAAGCTATTAATAAATAAGAATCAATGAAACTTTATTCTACACAGAGATAAAGTTTTCTTCTATTAAAAGAGTTCCATACCTTGCACTGTTCAAGACGCTGAAGAACTAGTTCATCACTTCCACTGCTGTTATCACACCGTGACACGGACTCGCGCTGTTTTTTAAGATAGTCACTAAATGCTTGCATTTCTTCTTCAACAGTTCCTTGTTCATTTTCAATATTTCTCAAGACAGATTCAAGTTTATTAGCAACATCTCGAGCCTCGTCAAACTGAGCTTGTAAGACTGATTTAAGGGATGTTAGGGTAGCAATCTCTTGGTTATCAGTAAGTTTCTCTAGAGCAGAGATTTTAGCACAGAGACCAGCATGAGTGGTCTCATAAAAACCAACTTCATTCTGCAAAATTCAATAACAAAGTCTAAAGAGCTCAAACAGTGATAAGATTCTCAAGTTGTTAAGTTAAAATGTAAAGATTTCAAGCTCACAAAATAGTCCAAAAACCTCCTCAAACCATTAAAACAGTCCAACTATTTCAAGCTGCTAAGTAGCCTGACTTAGGCTGCTCAGATAACATGAAAATTACAATACTCTGTTCACAGATTTTATACTACAATAATATATTCTGAAATCTAATTACAATAGAAGTTTACTGAATTTACACTATAAAAACTTAAAATATGAATTCTGACAGAAGAAACCTCTAGACGTGATGAGCTTTTTAAAAATTATTTTAGGAACAAAATTGTAGTATCAGTTTGTTCTTGTTAATACCTTGTACTTATTTAGAAGGCTCTGAGCTTTTTCGTGGCCACTGAAGTTTTCTAGAAAAGAGTTGAAAGCAGAACAAGTCTCTGTCAACCATGTCATGAGCTGTTCCTTAACACTATCTATTTGTTGCCACAAAACTAGCTGAGACTCGCAGGTCTGAAGCCTTTGCATTATTCTCTCCCAGGCTGTACGCCACTGCTGCTGAGCCTCTTCTAGTTCTGTCTGCAAGAATTCAACATTGAACCCTTCTACTGAAGTCAGCTTGTCCTTCATCTCCTTCATCTTGTGAGAGTAGTTGTCAGTTACCGAGCGATGTGACTTCATTAACTCATTAGCAGTCTGCATAATTCAAAATATAAAACCACAAGTTCAGAAATAAATAGAATATTACAAAGATTAATACAGTTCATAATTGTTTTAAGAATATAATATAAAAAATAAAACTTTTATAATTTTTGGAATTGAAACCCATACTAGAAAACTTTATACAGGTCTTTATTTTTTAAGTAAAGAACAAGAAATAAATAATAATAATATTAAATTTTTGAAAATCATACTAGAAAGTTTCCTATTTCCGATAGATATCTCCTCTCACATATTAATTTCCCAATTTTGTGCTGCCTCTATATGTACAATTTTTTACATGCCATTAGCCTTGAGGCTCCCACCTAAACTCAGTACTACTGTTGCACTGTAGCATGGAAAATGGACATGTTTTAAGGTGTGGAGTGGCTAAGACATGACATGGCAGGTTATCTCCAGTCCCAAACCAGGCAATGTCAAGAAGTGTTGGTCCATTCCGCAGTAAAAGGAGGTCCCTAACAACCACATGAGTGAGGACTTATGTTGACTTCTGTGCTGATCCAGCACCAGACCACCAAGGAACTGACATTAAGGCAGTGGTAGAATGGGGAGAGGGGTGAACTGTATTTGGTGGTTCATCTCCACTCCAAAATCATGCATCATGGGAAATTTTTTATCAGTTCCACAGTAGGAGGAGGGTTCACACCATCTACATCAACAGAACACCACTGCCCTACTCTCTACTGGGTAGAATTTGTCGCAATCAGGAGGAAGTCTCCATGGTCCACCACCTGAGCAACTAGGAACTGATGAGGGATAAGGACTCCCAGAAACGTGACAATCAGGAGGAAGTCTCCATGGTCCACCACCTGAGCAGCTAGGAACTGATGAGTGGCAAAAAACCCAATTTTTAAAAGCAGACCAGTCCAGATTTATTCAACTAGGACTAAAGAGGTGGGCAGCTATCCCAATATTGCTTTACAGGTATGGTCTGGATTTGGCAAATAATATGACACAAGGAAACCTCTAGCAATGTTGTGGAACACCCCATCCTATCAGTACGCATTTCAGCCCCAAATAGCCACATGGTGCAGATTTAAATCGAAGTATGGCAGGCACTGCATGCCACTCAGCAGGATCCTGAGACACAGAATATGTCCCCTTGAAAGGTACAAAAGAAAAAGATTTGACCCAGTTAGAGCTGGTAAGGTGTATGGAGACTGGCGACAAGTTGATATCCCGACAAAAAAGAAACAACCAGATTATGAAGATAATGTGTGACAAAAGTATGCAGGGTAGTCCACACACCAGCCTGCATGACCTCCTCCAACAGATAGCAGAAGTGGGCAGCCATAGAGAGAGAAAGGTGATGGATTTGGTGAGAGGATACCTGAAAAAGTTGACAAGAATCCACAACCAAAGAAGTAGACGGATGAGTTTCAATAGCCAACCCATAAGAGTACTAGGAGAAAGAACTTGGGTAAAAGAGGAGTTCCAAAGGATAAAGAGATGCAAGTGGGAACCTCAAAAAGGGGCAGTGCAGGCTAAATAACAGTAAACCTAACAGACGAGACAGAGAAGAGGATCAGAACAAGAATAAAGGTGAGAAATGGACAGAAAGGAAATAGGGATGAATGTGTTGTCGCCCCTCAGGGGCTGGAGATGTTTTAGGGAGAAGTGCATAATCAGGGGAAAGAAAAACATAAAAATGGTGGAAGAAAACACGAGAATCATCAATGGCATATATGTCAACCTCTTATAACCACAGGCAAAAAGTAGTAAGAAATAGGTTTTAAGTGAAAGATGGTACAACAAACAAGAGGTCAAAGGTAGAAATTGGGGAAGGATATGGGCATGGAGAAAAACATTCAGTTCCCAATCAGGAAAAAGCAGGATTGGAGGATGAAGAAGACAAAGAGAACAAAAGACAACAGAAAGAGCAGGTGAATAGAAGACTTGACAAGAACGAGAAAATCAGAATGTAGTTAATAGTGCCACCCTGTAGGCAGCAATGGTCAAAAGTGATAAGCCTGGCTGGACAGCTATGTAAATAACTGAAAAAGATGGGGGACAGAAGGTCAGAAAGGGGGGAAAGATTGATGCAGAGACTGACAACTGAGTATGTGCCATTTTCGTTGATAGACAAAGAGGGAGAAGGAAGGAATGCTACACATGAAGAGAGTATGGAACATCTTGAAAGAGACCAGACAAAACCCACACATGAAGACAAAGTGACAACACTGCCAAATGTGAGAGGGAGAAGTGAGGTTGAAGTATTAGGGAGCATGACAGAGGTAGAGGAGGTTCAACAGAATAAACCATGGCTGAGTCAGTCAGTACAGACTTATCCAGAGTACTCAACATGGAATGTCTGCAATGAGGGAAAACACATGAGGGAGAGGACAAATAGGAATGAAGGCACAGAGAAAAAAGTGGGACTAGTCCAGACTGAATGCACTCACAGCTAGAACTGAGGGATGAGAAACAGGGAACCAGAAAAAAGGAAGCATGGTGTCAGGATGAGTGGCAAAAGCAACTAGAAGAGGAGTGCACAAGTGAGTGGACAGCTATATGAACACCATAGGATCGAGTGACCACACCATAGGTAGTATCCTGTTGAGCCTCAAGAAACAATCCACAACAAGGTGCAGGGCACCTGGATTATGACAAGCAATGATATGTATATGTAAAGAATGAGTCCATAAAAAGAAGTCGAGAAGGTGTAAATTGAGTGAGCGAGACTGGGTGCCACCCTAGCAATTGATATAGGAGACAACCAAACAGTTGGCTATATGAATCATAACTACACATCCATGAACCATCATGAGAAAATGATCAAAGTTCAATGTACCACCACAAGCTCTAATCAGATATAAATATAAAGGGGTGATTCATTGCACGACTACTTACCCAAAATCACTAGAGAGTTGAAACATGCTCTCATCTCATCTAGGATGGATCTAGAAACTGATGGAGACTAAGATGAGAGGACGGAACTGGAACTACCTCCCTGGTATGTCGACCCAGTGGAGGAGTACAAAAAAGAATTCAGTGATTAGGCAGAGTCCACTGTAGACATCGCAAATGAGCATGACCCAAGGAGATATGGGATTCCATAGAAGCCAACTCCTCAAAAAAGAGAGAATCTCCTGTACAGTGGGAGAAGAAGGGGATGGGGCATGAGATACTAATCACTCAATGTCCCTCAAATGAAGATGAGAAAGTTGGGCCCTGTAGAGATGCAAAGCAAAAAACACCCAAATGAATGAGATACGGAATGGATGTGAGATACAACTTCTTCAGGTAAACTAACTAACTAACCCAGATGCACCAGGATAAGAAGATAGCTGCAGAAGGCATGTTGGGATAGAGCCAAAGAGAAAATATGCATCCAAGACATCCACCTTTGTCATTCCAAGACCTGGGGCAAAAGACCACCATAGGTTGAGAAAAGTCTCTAGAGTAAATCAAGGAAGATCAAAAAACTGATCAAGACATGAAAATTCAAAGCCAAAATGCCTATCCACATATTCCTTGGGAACCACAAAAAGACAGGAATAAAATCTTGAAAAAGGATAAGAAACCCATATGATAGCATCTTTTAGCCATTAGGTCCAACACTGCCATGGATCAATGTTGGCAAGAAACAAGATCCCTTGGAGGAAAGTTAGTAACGGGAACAAGATGCAATAGAGGATGAGAGGAAAGAAATGAAGGGTGAGGCTCTCTGACACAATTCCCAGTACCCAAGAATCAGATGAAAATGGTGGGAAAATGTGTGTAAACTGAACTAAATGGACCTACTGACCCTGAACCTAAAGGATAGTCAAGACTGAGTACTGAAGTCTACAAGTTGTGGGAGGATAGATGGGAAGTGGTGACAGGGAGAGAAATCAGGAGTAAAGGGGACAACAAAAAGGCAAAGAAAGAGCAGGAGAGAGATGGTAAATCAGTGAGGATAAAGATATTGCCATGCAACCCCACATGTGACTCCAGTGAAATAAGCACTCCAGTTAAATCATACTGTTAGATGAAAGGAGCCAGATGTGGGCATATGAGATAAAAGGAAGGCAAAAGCATTTAAGTAACAAGGGCAACACACCTCAACAAACTCTAGCAACAGATCAGTTAAATATAGTGATAAGACCGAGAAAGATAAACATGCCACTGTAAAGAAGATAAGTGAATGGGTATTTGCCAAAATCCCCTCTTGGCAATGGTTATTACCCCGGAAATGAAAAATAATGGAAAAGAGTATAAAGTGCAAGATGAAGGTACGAAAACTTAAGCCTAAAAAAGATAGAACAAAAAACAGATGATCTGACCCCCAAGTTTACAATTCAAAGAAAGGTAATATAGCATGAAGTTATGTCTAATAACCTGAGGTAAAAAAGGAAGGAGGATGACGCATGCATACACCAAAGTAGTGGTAAAAATAATCGAATATGGACTTATATCAATAGAAAATTTGTTTGTTTGTTTGTTTTTGAATTTCGGACAAAGCTACACGAGGGCTATCTGTGCTAGCCGTCCCTAATTTAGCAGTGTAAGACTAGAGGGAAGGCAGCTAGTCATCACCACCCACTGCCAATTTTTGGGCTACTCTTTTACCAATGAATAGTGGGATTGACCATCACATTAAAAGGGCGAGCATGTCTGGTGAAACAAGGATTCAAACCTGCGACCCTCAGATTGCAACTCAAGCACCTTAACCACCTGGCCATGCTCGGCAGGATAGAAAGTAAAAAACATAAGGGGAAGAACCAGGGAACAAATCAGAAAGTGAAGAAAAGAAACATACCTGAAAAGCCCAGTCCCAAAATTATGAAAAAGGCTTAGGTAGATTCAAGACAACATGAGTATTAGATCAGCCAAAGGTAGGTGCTGGAAAAAACCTGGCAAAATCTGTCATGAATGAAAAACATAGACAGAGATATGTCAAGAAGGTCCAGGTCACATAAAAGACTCCACCACCCACTGCAAAAAACCCATCACTTCTCCTAACACATAAAAACAAGCCCAAATAGCATCAGCAAAGTATTTTTTTCTTACACCAGACAAAGTTACTGACACTTATGAAATTATAATGTGCAAATAAAAGGCCTCAAAATCTGCAGGTGCAGAAAATGTTGAAAACGAAAATCTAACAACAAATACTTTCACTACAAAAAAAGCCTATATCTGAAAAATTCACCCGAAAAAAAAATACATCATTGCACATGAGTACCAAATGAAGAAGTTATGACTTCACAATCAGTGTAAAGAGTCAGCATACATTAAGAGGGTGTGTCTCACTTCTAATGTTGGACAGTTGTTGCATGCTACAGTGCATCAGTAGCACGTGAACTTTAGGTGGGAGCCTCAAGGCAAAAAATTGAAGGCAGCACAAAATCAGGAAAAGCTATGAGAGAGAGGGGTAAGGTATTCTTTCTGAAATATCTCATTATTGTATTGAGATATAAATAACAATACAATTAGAAAACTTAATTATTATAAAACTAAATATCACCTTAATTACATTGAAAATTACCACTCAAGCTTGAAGTGCACAGGAAAAGTTACTTACTTTTGTTTTCTGTAATATATTCATTGATTAGACTGAATGATAAGAAGGGTGCTCTGGAGGAGCTTGTCTTCAGATGCTTGTACATAACCTATAGAAGAAAAGTTATCCACCTTGGCTTTCTCTAATATATTCAGTGATTAGACTGAATGATAAGAAGGGTGCTCTGGAGGAGCTTGTCTTCAGATGCTAGTACATAACCTATAGAAGAAAAGTTATCCATCTTGGCTTTCTCTAAAGGACTTGGTGACTGGATTGAGTCACAAGGATAGCGCTCTGGAGGAGCTTGTCTTCAGATGCTAGTACATATCTTATAGAAGAGAAGTTACTTACCTTGGCTTTCTCTAACATACTGAGTGACTGGATTGAGTCACAAGGAGGGTGCTCTGGAGGAGCAGCTTTCTGCATGGCCTCTTGTATCACATTTAACATTTGTTTGTAGAGATCATCACATTCTTTCCAGAGAGCTAAGACTTGGTTAAAAAGTTTCTCCTTTCGAGCAAGCTCTGAAGACAGTTGTTCCCAAAAAGTATCTAAAGAAGTCAATTTTGTCTGAATGTCTGATAATTCTGAAGGGTTAACTTCAATTAATGCACGACCTTTCTCGAGAACTTTGGTGTAGTCAGCTTTGTGAGATGTTAGGTCCTCTGTAAGCTCCTAAGGAAATAGAAACCTTCATGTAAGATGTAAGTGAATAAAACATTCAAAACCAAAACTTAAAACTTGTGAGTTAATATTAATTTCTACCACTGTTCATTAAATCCTTGCAACATGTAGTTACATAATGATAAAAAAAGAAATACCAGTGATAGAAACTAATGTTGTGATACAACATATAGTTACATAATGATAAAAAGGAAATACCAATGATAGAAACTAATGTTGTGATACAACATAGTTACATAATGATAAAAAAGAAATACCAGTGATAGAAACTAATGTTATGATACAACATATAGTTACATAATGATAAAAATACCAGTGATAGAAACTAATATTGTGATACAACATATAGTTAATTACATAATGATAAAAATACCAGTGATAGAAACTAATATTGTGATAAAACATATAGTTAGTTACATAATGATAAAAATACCAGTGATAGAAACTAATGTTGTGATGCAACATATAGTTACATAATGATAAAAATACCAGTGACACAAACTAATGTTGTGATACAACATATTGTTACGGCAGCAGAAGTTACGTGATGCTAGTAACACGTCATGAACTTCTAGAAGGATCCTGTCCCTTCCTGAAGTCTTGGGAGGTTACTAGATATGCGGTATTCTTCTATATATAAGACCAGTAAGAACTGACGGCAACAATGTAATTGAACTGAAGACAGAGATTGACGATTGAGTCGAGCACGTGAGTCGTTCGTTGTGAATTATAGCTTTTGTTATAGCGTGACTGTGGAAATTAAGTGTATTGCAAAGTTGTATTTAGAAAGAATAAACCAGTTTTATTTAAGAAAGGACTTGTATCGCTAAAGTTTCTTCGGAAAGAAATTATATGGAAAATTAACTAACAAACAGAGACGTAACAATATAGTTACATAATGATAAAAACCAGTTATAGAAACTAATGCTGTCATACGACATATAGTTGCATAATGATAAAAAATACCAGTGATAGAAACTATTGTTGTGATACAACGTATAGTTACATAATATAAAAATACCAGTGATAGAAACTAATGTTGTGATACAACATATAGTTACATAATGATAAAAAACCAATGATAGAAACTAATGTTGTGATACAACATATAGTTAGTTACATAATGATAAAAATACCAGTGATAGAAACTAATGTTGTGAGTTTCTAGAATGATCGGGGAAGTCCGAGTGTGTTCGAGGTGTCCTCTTCATTAGCATTTAAGCCTGGCAGAGAAAGCCAGCAGGGGATATATAAATGAAGAGAGAGCAGTAGTTACTTTGAGTTCCTTGTAATTTATGATTGTGTTAGTTTCAAGCTAGTGAGCCGTAAAGTGTGTATTTTGCACTCGTCGAGAGCGAAGTTATCAAATTGTGAATTGCTGTGATTTATAGCATGTATTATAAAAGTTGTTAAATCTAAAGTGATGAGACATACTGATTGTGGTACTACTGTATACTAAAAGTTTGTATCAAGGAAGAATAAACTGGTTTAATAAAGAAAGGACTTGTACTGCTGAAGATCCTCAGAAAGAATTTCTACCAGAAACAAACAAACAAGCAGATACGTAACATTATGTTAAAATTAGCTTCAAATTCATATAAAGATTGTTCTATACACATACATCTATAAAATGAAATTTTTTGAGACATCTTTCAATATATTAGGTTTATTAACTTACTAAATCCTTTTCAGTATATTAGATTTAGTATTCTAATAAAATTATTTCACTATATTAGGTTCTCTATTGTACTAAATCCTTATAATATATTAGTCTTAGTAATAAAAAGTAAAGTTCACACCTTAATGTCATTTTGTAAGGCTACAATTCCTGACTGGGTGTCGCTTCTTGGTCTGAGATTCTGAATTTTAGAATCTGTGTCCTTAATCCATGCTACCAATTTCTCCAATGTTTCATTGAAGTCTTGATGTTGCTGGTGCAAGAAAGTAGTTTTCTGTTGTCTCTTCCTCAACATTTCTGTAACTTTACTGTGACGGTCCTTTAGCTCTGTTAGAAGATTATAAAGAGATAGAGTAGATGACATATTAGATGAGTCTTTAAACAATTTCAGTTGAGCTTTGGTTATAAGATTATCCAGCTCTGATGATTCACATTCTTTAGTTTCAAGCTGCGTTTTGATAATTTCAAGCTCTGATGCAATTGAAGACATCTCTTCTTCAACAAGTTGATGAGAGTTGAGCTTCTGCTCTAAAAGACTAAGGTGCTCTCTCAGGTCTCGCTGCCAGAGGTGAAAATTTTCTAACTTTTGAAGAAAATCAACTCGAACATCCAAGAGGTCTTCCAACCATTGGTAATTCTCAGATAGTGAACTGTATGCACTCTGGACTTGCTCAACCTCTTCAGGCATACATGTTTCAGAAAGCTGTCTCACTGTAGCATAGATATCATTGAAAAGTTCCTGTTTTCTGCTACTCTCCTCTTTCATAATCTGATACAGAAAGTTGCATAAAATATATGTATCAGTAAACACTCAGTAAACTTTATAGATTAACTTACAAGTTTCTTGTGAAAACACAAATCATATAATTTCTCCTCTATTTCTTACTACCTAAAATAAACTTGTCATGTATGCGTAAATTATATCTTCAAAACAGATCTACTTATATATTAACTCTGATGTTAGTGCTACTTAGAACTGAGTCATTATAAGCTGCATATTATACCATCACAAACTCTCAGATTAAGATTACTTAGCCCCCAAGTGGCTCTACAGTAAGTCTGTTAGTGCTACTTAGAACTGAGTCATTATAAGCTGCATATTATACCATCACAAACTCTCAGATTAAGATTACTTAGCCCCCAAGTGGCTCTACAGTAAGTCTACAGGCTTACAATGCTAAAAATTGGGTTTTGAATAATGGCATGTACTCCTTAAAGTCATAACCACTGGTAGTCATCTCAATGATAACCACAGATGAAAATCTATAATGTTATGACTAATACTAGTTCATAAACAACAATGTTAACTTATTAGTTGATGAACAGTAATGTCACTTTATTCTTAAATATACAAAAGTACTCCTTCATTATTATTACTAACACTAGTTGATAAACAACAATGTTAACTTATTAGTTGTTGAGCAACAATATTAACTATTAGTTGATGAACAGTAATGCCACTTTATTCTTAAATACACAAAAGTACTCCTTCATTATTATTACTAACACTAGTTGATAAACAACAATGTTAACTTATTAGTTGATAAACAACAGTGTTAACTTATTAGTTGTTGAGCAACAATATTAACTATTAGTTGATGAACAGTAATGTCATTTGATTATATCTTTGACAACTGCATAAAGGTAATCCTTAAGTTCCTCACTAATAATTATTAATAAAAAACAATGCCACTTTATTAACTAATGAACAATAATGATATCTTGTTTACATCTTTGACAGCTATATCCTTAAATTCATCACTAATGCTAGTTGATAAACAATGATATTAATTTACTATATAACATTCTCTATGATTAGCTTGACATACCCTTGTTTGTTTCAACATCTGATCCACATGACTAAAGAAAACATCTTGTTGATCTTTTAAAATCAGTTGAGTTTCATCAATCCACTCTTGAAAGGTTTTAATTTTTCTTAAAAGATCTTTCCGTTCTGCAATCACAGAAGCTACTTGTGCCTGTAACTGATGAACATAGTCACTAAGGTTATTAATTCGGTGTCTTATGTCAGATAAATGAGCACGCAAAGCAGTTGTGGCTTTCTGAGAGATGTTCTGCGACAGTTCTTCTACTTCTTTGAAAATTTCACTCAAACTTTGCTGTTTTTCAAACACTTCTATAGAAAGGTGCTGTGAAAAATGAAAAAAAAAACCTCCATTGACAATTCATATTTAAAATAAAAACAGTTATATGTCAACCTAGTATACATCCAGCAGAATCAACACCAATTGTTTGTTCTCTGACAACCCAGTATACATCCAACAGAATCAACACCAAGTGTTTGTTCTCTGATAACCCAGTATACATCCAACAGAATCAACACCAAGTGTTTGTTCTGTGTCAACCTAGTATACATCCAGCAGAATCAACACCAAGTGTTTGTTCTGTGTCAGCCTAGTATACATCCAGTAGCATCAACATCAAGTGTTTGTTCTTTGTCAACCTAGTATACATCCAGTAGCATCAACAACAAGTGTTTGTTCTATGTCAGCCTAGAATACATCCAGTAGCATCAACACTAAGAGTTTGTTCTTTGTCAATCTAGTATACATCCAGTAGCATCAACAACAAGTGTTTGTTCTGTGTCAACCTTGTATACATCCAGCAAAATCAACACCAAGTGTTTGTTTTGTGTCAACCAAGTACACATCCAGTAGCATCAACACTAAGAGTTTGTTCTTTGTCAACCTATTATACATTCAGCAGAATCAACACCAAGTGTTGGTTCTGTGTCAACCTTGTATACATCCAGCAGAATCAACATCAAGTGTTTGGTCTGTGTCAACCTGGTATACATCCAGTAGAACCAACACCAAGTGTTTATTCTGTGATAGTCTAGTATACATACAGTAGAATCAACACCAAGTGTACTACACATGCATGAAACAGAGGTTTGGTGGTTAAAAATATTTTTTCTAATACATCAGAATTAATAAACAAAAAAACTTTATCCAATTAATGATCTGTAATTGAAAAGTGATGATCTCTTTAAATAATCAATAAATGTAGAAATATTCTTCATCTCACCTTTAGGTCTTCTTTTAGGCCTTCCAATTTTTCTATAATTACTGTGTTAGTTTTAAGTGGTTTTTTCACATGTTCTTCAGTCTCCACCACCCAACTTATCAAATCTTCTGTTTTGATACTTAAACTTTCCCATGAATGTAATGTTCTTTCTAGTCTTTCAGCCCATGTCTTTACCGTATCAAAAACAGTTTGCCACTGACTTTGTAGGAAATCAAGCTCTGTTTGGACTGCTGTATCAACTTGGTCCTTTTGTGTTTGTACTGCTACATCTGAAAGTTGGGCAATTTTCTCTAGACATTGCTCCTGGAATTGCTGAGGAAAGAAAGTTTTTGGTTAAATAATGAATAAGCCTTTAGTAAACATGAACTATTGATATGGAGAACAGTTGTTTAATATACAGGAATCTCACACATATCAGAAACCAACAAACCAGTCTGGGTTAATACTTCACTAAACATTTTGCTTGTACTTCAGAAAATGATGGAGAAGTTGAATAAGAGAGGTTACAGCTAAGAATGCTTATTGTATGTAGCAAGAAGGAGTCAGTCTTCCATATAATAGTAAAAAAGCAAGCCCAATGAATGCATCTTTATTGTAAATTCCCTTAAAACCCGACTGAAAACATGCAGGGCTGTAGCCAATCCAAAGTTCAGACTGTTGCAGACAAAATGGAGGAAATCACAGTCAATCATACAAAAAAGATTCCAAAATATCCACAGTTGAAAGTGAACAAAAACCTCAGACTGCAAAAATCACCATTTGTAACCAAGAAATTGTTTAAGAATGATAGAACTATAATCATTAATCTCCCATCTTCTTGAGGATGACAAAAGAATGGGAGTAAGACCCCAGATTGGAATTGTGGATATGTTCCAAGGCATTCATATCTAGGAAAAAAGATATAGTTTCCTCCAGGTGCCAAATACAAAAGGGATATGAGGGGGTGGAAAGAAGAAGGTGAGTGTGGAAAGCCCGTGAGAAAGAAACATTGTGAACCAACAGTCAACCAAAGGTACACAGAGTGGGAGAGCTGAGCTCCCATCAAACAGGAGCCAAAAGTTGGCTCAAAAAATAAGTCACCTTCATAATCCTAAACCAAGTAAAGTGAGCAAATATGACTGCTGATAAGCTGCCTCAGTTAAAGTTTCCAATTTATAAGGAAATCCCCCAAAACCTCATCACAAAAGAAGAGTGCCATACTGAATTTCCTGAAATAAAAACAAACCTCAAAAACAAAAGCATCAAGGTAACTGGGACATTTCAAAAGAAGAAATCAAGTTCATGATGGAGAACAATAAAGAAGGTGAAGCATGGACAGGAAGGGAAGAAGCAAGATGAAGATGAGCAAAAGAAAAAGAAGGAGATCCCCAAGCTGGAAGATTCAAGGCCCCAAAACTCAAGGTTATAAGAAGAATCATGACCATACACCACAGAACAAGGTTTTCAAGATTCAGGAGTACGAGGCAGCTGGTGTTTGGTATGAAGTTGGACAGAATGGTATCATCATAAATACAAATATCAGAACAGATGGAAAGAGAAGATAGTCAAAAGAAGGAGGAGGCTCACAAAGCAAAAGGAACTCAAGATTCAGCAAAAGACACTGGAGAGAGAACATTACATATTTGTGTAATCAAAGCAGTAATGGATGAAGTTGGGGTTACCTGTTACACCTATGGAGAGAAAGAACCAGAAGAAAAAAAAAGGAACAGCTGAAAAAATCATCAAAATATGAGGCACCTCAGCTGAAGTAACAGAGGCAGGAGGTTGGAAATTCTGGATTCAAGATTAGAATGGAACCAACCATCTGGTGCACAATGGCAGTAATGTCACAGACTGTCAGAGTACCTCCACTCACCACTTTAACCATAAAATACACCTCCTGGAGCATCAAGAGGTGTCAGAAATGTGGGTAAGTGAATTTACTGGTTTTTCTGCTTGTTTAAAGTAGATCTGGTGTGTCGTGGTATATAGACCACGGTTGTTGACGTAATGACCAAATTTAGATTAACCATTGAATAGTTATGGGAACATTCCTGTTAGAGAAACCAAATTATCAACTCTGTAACAGGTGTCCCAAATCACATAATTTGATGAAGAGAAGAAAATTAATGGAAGAACAAGTAATAAGTTGATTCAAAAGCTCTGTTTAAAATTCTTTCATGAAAAAAACAAAATAAAGCAAAGAAAGAACAAATTCAAGTGAGACTCTGGTTTACACAACTTGTACAGATGGACTAATGAGACTCTGGTTTACACAACTTGTACAGAAGGACTAATGAGACTCTGGTTTACACAACTTGTTCAAGAGGACTAATGAGATGCTGGTTTACACAGCTTGTTCAAGAGGACTAATGAGATGCTGGTTTACACAG